CGAGATTACTATACAAGTAATATAAATAAATATAATCCTTGTGATTTTGATACCAAACTAATTTATTTTCAGCATAGGAAAGGGCAATTGCGTCCTGAACGACAATGATTATAAGGGAAAGGGCAAATTTCCAAAGTGAATACTAGAACGAGTCGCAGAGTAACTCAAGCAATGATGATAAAAAAAGCACATTGTTGTCTCATGGCCAAAGATAGCATTTTGGATGAATCCAAACACAAGAGCTCCAATAGTGATGTATACCCTATATATGATGATCTATATTCTAAATATAATAAAATATTAGGTCAATTTGAAAATTTTGCCAAAAATATAAAGTTGTTAAAAAGATATATTTAAGAAGGATAATAAATTGGTGAGTAATAAGATTAAAAATCTTTCTTTAGAATTGAATACATCTAACAATGCAAGTGAAAAATCCTCTTTGAAATGCATATAATGTTCCATGTACAGGGACATGAATTGTGATTTATCCAAGGAATTAACAAATAAAATTTGTGAACATGAAAAAATAGTTGCTAGGGTAATTGAGCATTGATGTGAGTTGCCTTTTGAACAAATAAAGCTTGAAAATCGATGCACTACTGTTTCCTAAAATTAAATAATTAGTCTAAAAATATTAATTTCAAAAAGGTTGTGAAAAACTTTTCTTTGGGTTCTAAAGGTTTAAACACGATCCTTTCTAGTCAACAATTTGCAAAAGTGAAAGCTAGACTTAGTTAATTATATTCAAAAAATATATAAATAACTTTCTTTTGTAAGAGAAAACAATTTAACACTTTTTATACACATCCCAAATGCATCTTCTACTATTTATACTTTATGTGGACGAACGGGTCACGCTTCAATGAATTATTGAATATAATATGGACTTAAAATAGTCAAGCGGATTTTGGTATCTGAAGGCATATTTACTAGCCAGCATAGACCTATGTGGGTACCTAGGTCACACATTTATGTTATTCTATAGGTGTGCAAGAAGGCTAAAGATCAAGGCCACATATGTTTTTGTTGCTCAAGACATATTCAGAAGATAAGAATCTGCTCCTTACTCTAATCAAGAAGAAAATGAGATGAGAATTTTCTAATACATGCGATTAGGGTCTCATTGTGCAAGCGAAGATTTATTACAAAGGCATAACTTTTGTAAATGATTGTTTTTAGAAAATCTTTTCAAAGGGGTAAGTAAAGGTATATCCTATAACACTTCCTATTGTATATACATAATTTGGATCTTTTTCTTGGGCTTTCTTGATTTTTTTCCTTTTCCTTTTAGAGTTGTTTTTAGATTTATTTAATCAAAAATAAAGTAACAGTTTTCTTTTCTTTCTTTTTTGTTTTCTTTAAAAAAATTAAAAAACTTTTGGCCATATCTTTATATATGCTTTTACAAATTAATTCAGATCATATAATCTTTTAGTATATAGGTTTGATTATATCACAAATGTCCACATATGGTTTTCAACTCTCTCTCTCTCTCTCTCTCTCTCTCTCTCACATCTGCACAATGGTAAGAATATGATTATTTGATACATTGTTTCTTAATATATTTCATGTTACATTATCACACACCTCGATATATTTCATGTTACATTATCATACACCTAGCTTTATACTTAGCATGTTTTGTAATGTGAAATAGTGGTAAAAAGCTTTTATATTTTTTTATAATATAGTTTTGAAATATATCAAGAGTTTATAGCTTGTTTTTAACTAGGATAATGCACACATTTATTCTTTATATGTACAAATGTGCATTTATGCTAAAAATATATCAAAAAAAAAGAGTACACTTATTAAAAGATGATTGAAGATCCATACTCTTATGAAATATATGGAAATATGAGTGTATTTGTTAAAAGAATTTGAGACCTACACTCGTGAATTATGTTTGTGCAAATTTTAAAGGGTAGCCATAAGTACATGATATTTTTATATAGAGATAGTATGAATCGCCTACCAAATACTATCGTTCCTCCTCTAAATACTATATAATTGAGGTAATAGGGAGACATTTTGGTCCTTAGTTTCTAAGGTTGAGATAATTCAAGCCTTATTATTGCTCATTATTCTCTTTGATATATCTGAATTTGTCCAATAAATAATTCTTTGTACTATTTATTTCATATACTTTACAATAATATTTAATCATTTTTGTGTGTGATATTTAATGTGATTCTCTCGTATTCAAGTGTTTTGTGATTAGATTTTAATCTCTTGTACTATTTTTATATAACATTTTCTTGTGAATTGGTGTGTCTTTCTCTTTGTTCATCTTTAGATGGTTTTTATCTGAATTTCTCGAGTATAAAATGTTACTATTGATGTGGGTTTAATTTTTATAATAACAAATAGGGGATAAATATTGAAATTGATTTTGTAATATGAGAGTTTTGTAAATTTTGGAAATTATTTTTGAAGATCATTGAACAATTTGTTTTTGGAAGAATAGGAGGAGTTCTGAAATAAGAGAAGCTCAGTTATAGAGAGAGTATGATATACTTGTATCTCATATTTCATGTATGTAAACATGTAGGGGGAGCTTGCATATCATATTTTATGTCATGAAACTAAAAATGTGCATAATTCATGTATCTCAAACATATATACTTATGACTTCAATTTTTGGTTTGTTATTATCAAAAGAGGAGATTGTTAGGACAATGTTTGTGCAATTGACTTAATTTGATCAATAACAAACATTTTATTTGTCTAATATATGTTTAAGATATTTTATATAGGTTACAAGAAGTTAGAATCAAGTTCATTATTAAAAAGAGCAAAATGACAAGTTAATAACGGCTGATTCTAAAAAATATCAAGAATAAAAATCAATTTTGAGTCTATGAAATTTTCTATCAAGGGTAAAAATCAATTTTCAGTCTATGAAAATTTCTATCTCATTGTCAAGAGTTTATGGGAACAAATAAAGCTCAATTTGGAGATATACAGCTCAAGGTGAATGTTTCCGTTAAACAATTTTAAAATAGTCAGTAGCAGGATTAAAAACATACACCAATGCTAAAAATTGCATGGGTCATAACTTTTGATTTGGTTATACAAATTGCTATTATAATAGCTTTCCAGAAAGCCCTAGATCTAATATATCTAATCACTGATCGTAGATTGAGCTTATCGATGGCATATAGTGAATCATTGATAGTCTACAATTACATATTGGTGGTTAAGTCTCACCATCAACGATTGAGTGCCAGATTTGCTATTTTTTAGCTTTTTCGAACTCAATCTTTGTCTTTCATTGTTTAGGTATATAGACTCTTTCCTCATGATTTCTAGAGACATTCCTTACCTAATTGAGAGTGAGAGAGAGAGAGAGGGAGAGGGAGAGGGAGAGGGAGAGGGAGGGAGAGAGAGAGCGCTAAGGTTTTAAGTTAGTGAAAGGATCTTGCTCAGGCTTCTCGGAAAATCACCCTTGATATCTTTCTTCATCATCCGATCAGCAACATTCGAGGATCGCTACCCTTGGATCTCATCATCGTCGCCGTTCTTTCATATCTCCATAATAAATCTTTTGGAAAACAATTCAATAAAGCAAGGACTATAAGATCTTTTTGTATTGCGCTTAATTATTTTTTGTTTTTATTGGTTTAAACTTTTTTTACGATGCTTAGGCTGATGTGAATTAAAAAAGTAGGTCTAGCTAGGGCTAGGTATTACTCATGTGAAGAGTTAGAATAGACGACTGGTTTCAAGTAGATTTTGGGGTGCAGTCTTTGTAAGCCTATTGAATTGGGTTGTGATTCAAGAGAAGTCTTGGTATAGTGAGGAAGCTCCTTCGTCAGAAGGAAGAGTGGACGTAAGATTGCTATCCAAGCCACTATAAAATCTTGCTTGTCCTTGGTTGGTTGTTATTTGTGGTTAATAATTGGTGTTCACTTTTTTCTATTCCGCTGCATATTTTGTGTTTTTTAGTGAAAAACGGTAGCAACTCTTTTCACCCACCTCTAGGCTTGCATCTCAAATCTAACAACTCCCACATGTAATTTGCAAATAAATGCAAATTTCGTGAGAGGAAAAGAATCTCAATTTTTCTCATTTGTCATTTACGGGCAACATACTACATATTGCATAGAGGAAACATATAATAATATTCAAAATTATTATATGCAAATTTCATTTATAAGGAAAGCTCAAATTTGGAAAAATTCCTAGTATGTAAAATAAGAAAATCAGATCTACCCGTGCAAGCAAGCATATCGCTTGTAAAAGTTGAAGAGAGAGGATAGGAGTCTAGCTCTGTAAGAACCGCCCTCATGCGACCAGATGGGTCTGAGCCCTAGATATGATAAATAGGGACCAAAATGATATTTTATCTCCCCAATGTAAGGCTCAAAACCGCTCGCCCGCAGAGAATTCCTACTTGAAGGACAATATACCCCTAGAAAAAAATTGATCAATATTATTCACAGTGCTTGATTTTTTTAAATTCTAACTCTTCTATTATTTATGATGTAAATCACCACATTTCTACAAGATGGTTCTCATAAGATCCTAATTCTACACTGTTCGTTCTTTCGTTATGAGTATATCTTCGGGAGATAGTCTAGTTGTCAGTGCACTTCATACAAACAGACAACTTGATTTCTGATTAGGTTCTTTCGTTATGAGTGTATCTTGGGGAGATAGTCTAGTTGTCAGTGCACTTCATACAAACAGACAACTTGATTTCTGATTAGGCCAGCAACTTACCATCTAACATCCTTTTCTTTTCAAACCACACAAGGCCCCCCCTGCCTCAATCCTTCTCAATTCCAAGCAACCGAAAGGGACATATACGGTAGGGATGGATGGTTCCTCCTGGCCCTGCCCCTTTCCTCAAATTTCCACCGATACTTTTTTCCTCCCTTGTCCCCTCCTTTCTCCTTCCTAGTGCAACCAAACAACAAGCAATCAAATTACAATCTCTCTCTCTCTCTCTCTCTCTCTCTCTCTCTCACTAGAATCAAAAAAACACTCTCTCTCTCTCTCTCTCTCTCTCTCTCTCTCTCTCTCTCTCTCTCTCTCTCTCTCTCTCTTTGATCGCAAATTGATCACATGAGATGGGGAGCAAAGGAGCTTCGCCATCTTCATCTCCATCCTCCTCCTCGTCCGTCTGTTGCATGTGCGGCGATCATGGCCTGCCGCAGGAGCTCTTCAGATGCAAAATCTGCCATTTTCGATCACAACACAAGTAAGCCTATCTATGTATCTGTCCATTTAGAGAAAATTCAACCATCAGGAAACTGAATAACTGAAAAGTTCCATGTTTAAATCCTGACTAGGTGCGTCTTTAGTTTGTTATTCCAGTTATTTGTACACGATCCGGTGTTTGATCAGACCTAGATAGTTCAAGCCAATCTATAGATTGATTTATACAATGAACTTTAAAGTTAATTTGAAATTTAATTCAGAAAAGATCTAGATTAACTTCGTAATAACTATGCAGGCTCTTTAAATTAATATTTTTTTTGATGATTCTAACATTTGTAATGTTTTACCTAAGAGGCATATTGTAATGGCATCGACACAAGTAAGACTATTTACGTATCTATCTATACCCTTCGGCTGCACTTGCTTTTGAATTGCTTGCATGAATTTGATTATATGGTGACTTTTCACAACCTACTTTCTTCTTCACTATTGGTGGCGATAATTTTCAAATGAATAAGTTTTTAATTAATATCTTAATAATATTTCTAATTTATATTATGAGTTTTAGAGTGAAAGCAATATACAACCGTTAAAATCATAATATTGCTACACGATCTACACCAATTAATGTTGCAATACTATATTCCGGGCATCACACAGGGCAAAAGCTAGTTAATCACTACAACAGACTACCAACATTTGAAGTTGAATGACAAAGACTCCGAGATCCATGGCCTAAATCTATGCTCTCTCTGTTTTTTTAATGAAATAAATCTATGTTCTTTAAACTGCTAATATCTTTTCAGTCATCCTAACATCCCTTAGTTTCTTACATGAGCTAGATATTGTAGTGATCTCTATCTGAAGGTCGACACCTACCGAGCATGCAATTGGTGTTTAAGAGAGGATGGAGGGAAATATTGCTCATTGCTCGAATCAAATACAGATACCGTCAACTCAAATTCTTCTTTTTGTTCGTCATCGAACGGAGGCATGGGAGTCAGCCGAGGTTCGTTCTCTTCGAATCTCAACAAGCCCATCAAGAAGCAAAGAGTTCCTCAGAGATCGTTATCTGACGTGAACGAGAGGATGAGATCGAAGGAGATCTCTCCGGGGTTGGGGAGATCACGGCAAGCATTTAGAGGTAAGGTCAGACGGTACAAGTTGTTGGAAGAAGTCTCAAGCTAAGTAGACAGCTCAACATTTGTATGACTTTCTTTACACGTGCATAAAATTTGCATAGAGATTATATGAAATTAATGACAAGAAGAAGAAATGGAACATTGTGTACATATGATGGTGAAGAAGAAAAAGGAGGAGACAATTTGAGCCCCACATGACACACGACTAGTTACGGATATTGCGGAGTGAATTATTGAGGAGCCGAAAGGAACATTTGGGCTGGCATGGGATCATGACTAGAGAAATTAAGGGCCAAAAATTTGGCATATGATATGTACGGTTAAATGTACATACTCCTTTTTATACTATGGTGATGTGATTTAGATCTGATAAACTATTTTATTAACACTTACATCCAGTTAAACTCAAATAATGATACTGCAATTTAATCTTTTCCCGCTAATATGTATGAATGCAAAAGGTGATTTATCGTCAAGTGATTTTTACTTGTCATCTTAGTCAAGTGATTTTTACTTGTCATCTTAACCTAGCGGGAAAAAATAATATAGCCTGGAGCTCAAGAACTGTAGATGCAATTAACCGGAGTGCTTAATGGTGTCTTCTGTTATAAGTGTCTTTTTCATTATTTGTTGGTCGTACTATGTGATTTTTGTGCTAGGGACCTTATGCAAGTCATAAGGTCTTTGCAATACAAAGTGGACCCAACTCAGGCTCTTGTTACCGCTCCTAATTCAAGCAAGAAATCTTCTGCCAAATTTTATTATCTTTAATTTGATACCACTGGTTTTATTCAGCTGACGATTTTTGAGTTGATGATTGTGATCTCTCTTAAGTGAAAGTTATGGTTTTCCTCTCCCTCCGTAGATGATAAACTGGTGCTGCAAATGAAGCTCTTAGGATCCCTCGTCTGATACTGCCAAACCAAAACTTTCTTCCGCACAAAAGCTGAACAGGTACAACGAAAGAATTGAGGGTAAATTACACCAAATCCCTAAGAATTTTCAGCGTTTTGCAGTAAACACCCAATAACTTTTAAAAATTAAACTACACCCGCAATAACTGTTGGAAATGCAGAAAACCATCAATAAATCATCACAGCAACTGGAATTGAACCCCGCTACCAACCACGGAACGTGCGCGTGCTCAGGGGCTGAAATACAACACCACATAGTAGAAGCCTAAGGCATCTGATGAGAGTTATTACAGGCTAGAATCTTTGTGATGAACTGCCAACAACTTCCCACTTCCTCATTTGCTGGATTAGACCATCCAATCCCTCACTTTCAACAACTCCCTCCAAAACCATGGAGCCATTTTGTCTGCAGAATATCGAGATGAATTGCCTGTTGTGCCAAAAGCTGTGTCGAGGAACCAAACCAAACGCCAATCCAAGAGAGCCAAACGAACTAAATATCAATGCACAAACAAAACATCAATTTTAACGTGATTTGGCAAATTGTCTACGTCCACGGGGCAAGAAAGGGGATGGGGGTTTTTTCACTAATAGAGAAAGAGTACAAACTGAGATTACAACTCACTTGAAGGAACAAACTAATCTCACCAACAAGCTCTTAATCTCTCCAAATAAAACCCTAAAATTAATAGCTCAGAAAATAACTCTTTTCTGTGCTCCAAATATCCCCAATTTGCTTCTTCAAATTCTCTCTTCCAATTGTTCCATATATATAGAAATCCTAAAATCATAAACATACTAGAAATTCTAAACCAAAATCCAAATCAAATTAGGAATCCTAATAACATATTACCAAAATAGATTAGGAATCCTAATAACCTCATGTTACCAAAATAGATTAGGAATCCAAATAACCTCATGTTACCAAAATAGATTAGGAATCCGCTATCCAACAATTCTCCATCTTGGCGAAGTTTTCCTAAAACTGAGCCGACACCAAAACCAACCAAACGTCTCACTTATTGCGTCCAGTACGAAGTGGAACAAATCCACTACAACGGACTCAATCCACAATAAGTCGAGAACCCAAACGAGAATGCGAACAAACTCCAAATGTCGGTATCAACTCACCAAATCGGCTGCATCAAATCTGACTGCCTACGTATCCTCTTGCCCAAAGAATCAAGTATTCACGTAGTTCACCCAAACGGCCTCTAAAGGCCCTCAAACAAATAGAAAAGTCTGCAATTCTTCCCCAATATCGCTAATGGATCTGCAACTGATAGCGGCCCCAAACTGATACAAATCAAACACCTCCATCTGAGGTGAAGCAATGACCATATCCAAATCATGTCCACCAGCTGCAACCAAATCCAAAACCAATCCATCATCTGCATCCGAAATCAAATGATCCCCAACCTGTGTCACCTCAGCTGGAATTCTAAATGACGCAATATGATCTGGAGTATGTGGAATAAGTTCCACCCAACGTGAAGTAGCATCACCCTCCACCTGCTGCGATATCCAAACGACCTGATCAACACTCTCCACCTGCCGAGAGTCAAAAGTGATATTCCTGCTCAGAACAAAATCAGAAGCTCCCAAACGATAATCAAATGATCCTCCGAATCCCAAACGCGCAATCGGATCAAATCTTACATCCTCGATGTGACCAAATGCTGGGTAACCAAATATCCGACACCGACCAAAATCTGAAGCAGCTCCACCAGATCCCATATATCTACATGCAGCAGTCGGCAACCTATACATGAGACGGCCCAAACATGTCGTAGCCCGCACACCAATGTCAATGCTCGACATCAAATGCCTATCCTCCTCCAGAAAGGAACAGCTCCCCAAATCTGCCATCTCATCACGTCGCCTCAAAGTTTCCACACCAATGAAGTGTCTCCTATTACCGTGAGCTTGGCACAAATTCAGATATAGGTCCCTCTTGTACCTCCCTCTAACATCAGACTGAAGTACCTTCACATTTGTACCAATACACTTCCTCCATTTGTTGCAGGCTTCTAGGACTTCATACCAACGGGACTTGGTTGCAACCAACCAATGCCTAGAGCAATCTCCAACTGTGGAAACCACATACCTATTACCTCCCAATGATGCTTCCTTGGAAGGCCCCCAAATGCCTGAATGAACACCCCTCAGAAGACCCCTCGAATGATGGATAGAAATGCCAAACTCCACCTCGGTCTTCTTGCTCATACCAATGGGTTCACAGGACTTCAAACTGCAGGTCAAAGCACTCCTCAACAACCTATGCACGGCATCACCAATCAAATACCCTAGCACCAAACAACGCCACAATCTAGCCAAATGAAATAAAGTCGTCAGAGCTCTATCAATCACCGTGCTCCCAAGCAAATAATATAAGTTATTCTTTCTGAAGCCCTTCATCACAATCATGGACCCAAATGTAACATTCAAGCGTGCATCCGCTAAGGTCACCCTATAGCCTGCTGCCTCCAAAGCTCCAAGTAAAATGATATTCTTCTTTAACTGAGGAAACGAACCTCACTCCAACCAACTCCCGAATCACCCCATCACTCATCCTGATCCGAACGGTACCGATACCACCAATAGAGCATTTGTGATCATTCCCCATGAGCATGAAATCTCCTCTTTCCAACTCCTAAAAGCTGGAGAACCAATCCCTCCTAGGGCAAATATGGTATGTAGCGCCCGAATCCAACATCCACTCTGTAGAGTAGGCAACACAAACTGATGGTAGTGTAGATAATGAGTAGCCTGAAGAATCCGAATCTGAATTGTTACCACTAGTCTTGACAATATTCACCTCTGAAGCTTATACAGCTTTCCCCTTATTCTTCCCGGGTTGATCATTCAACTTTGGGCATTCAGCTTTCCAATGTCCATCTTCTTTTAAAAAACGACACTGGTTCCTACCAATATTTCTATAGCCACCTCTTAACTTCGATCTTGAGCGATCACCTGGATGACAGTTTGGACCACGGCCTCGAACTGCTAATACATCTCCCGATGCCTTCTCGGAGGGTTCGTCATTACTCTTCCTCAACTCATAATTCACCAAAACTGAGGTCACCTCCTTGTAGCTAACCATAGTTTTTCTATTTATCATAGTGAGAGCAAATGTACCAAAATCATCCTCCGGCAATGAACACAATAGTAGCATCACATTGTCTTCATCCTCAACCATGATATCTACATTGGCCATATCCGAAATTAGCTTTGTGAAGTTGTTAACATGCTCCCGAATGGAAACTCTCCTCTTTATCTTGAATTGGTAAAACCTCTTCTTCAAGTGAAGCCGATTCTCAATGCTTTTCGTCAGATACTTCTCATTGAGTATTTCCCACATTCTCTTCACCGACGTCTCGTTCATTACGTCATAAATAAGATCCAGCGTCAAGCATGACCGAATAACTCCACAAGCCATACTATTCATCTTCTTCTAAACCTTGTCCTCTATATCAGCGAGTTTCTCTTGTAACTCAAGAATCTCCTCCAAATTTTATGCATCTAAGGCGTCCATCACCTGACACCTCAACAATCCAAAATTAATCTTGCCGTCGAACTTCGGAACATCAATCTTCGTGTTATTGATGCTCAGACTCTATATCGCCTTTGAAAGAGACAATCCCGATGTGCTTGTTTCTCCTATGTTGTCGATCTAATTCTTCAAATAGGAATCCTTCAGCGAATCCTTCGAACAAGCTCCCAAATCCAACCCGGAGCTCTGATACCAAATTGTTATGCCAAAAGCTGTGTCGAGGAACCAAACCAAACACCAATCCAAGAGAGCAAAATGAACTAAATATCAATGCACAAACAAAAGACCAATTTTAACGTGGTTCGGCAAATTGCCTACGTCCACGGGGCAAGAAAGGGGATGGGTTTTTTCACTAATAGAGAAAGAGTACAAACTGAGATTACAACTCACTCGAAGGAACAAACTAATCTCACCAACACGCTCTTAATCTCTCCAAACAAAACCCTAAACAAATAGCTCAGAAAATACCTCTTTTCTGTACTCCAAATATCTCCAATTTGCTTCTCCAAATTCTCTCTTCCAATTGTTCCATATATATAGAAATCCTAAAATCATAAACATACTAGGAATTCTAAACCAAAATCAAAATCAAATTAGGAATCCTAATAACCTATTACCAAAATAGATTAGGAATCCTAATAACCTCATGTTACCAAAATAGATTAGGAATCCTAATAACCTCATGTTACCAAAATAGATTAGGAATCTGCTATCCAACATTGCCAACAACAATTTAAACATTGCAAAAAAGTTTCCCATATAACATTACAACAAAGCCTATCAATCATTTGAATCATTTTTTTACCCCTTTCTTCAAGCAACGTATAAACGCCTATACATTATGACCCTGTTTGGCCAAGGGTTAAGGATGAGGTGTTAAAGATAAGGATTAATGTACTTAGTCCATTCGATAATCTGAAGGACTAAATTATTAACCCGTTAAATAAGTTTTGTTTCAGCCATTGTGATCAGTTTTAGTGTTTGGGAATGTTAGTCTAAGGGATGTAGACTCAAAGCTGG